CCTGTCAGTAGGAAGGGCCATGGTTTACACCTCGTGGTCCTCGTGCAGAGCTGCAAAGGTACAAGTGATTGCACCAGCTCAGTAATGGCCAAAACCCAAATGATAAGAGTTGTTAGGAAAGGGCAGAGAACAAAGTAAAGCAGCGTTGTACTGCTGCACAATTCAGTGGCATCTGTATAGAGAATGACCAGGTAGTTGAGGACTTTTCAGCCTGTAAGGGACAACTGTAGGTGCGTTCAAGGTCTGTAGGCATGAATAGCATGGGAGAAAATGGATTGGGATCAGTGGCTCACTGTCTCTTCCAAAAGAACCAGGGGTCTCAAATGGCAGTGGTTGGGTGCACAGACCAACCATTCTTCAGTGCTAAATTATCTTTACCATATCGTCTAATTTTATTTTAGACCATTTCTGCAGTTTGCTAAGACCAGCTTCATTTTTGGCCTGATCTCTACTGTTACAAGATTTTCTTCTTGCAGCCATCCATTTTTTTGCTGATTTAGGAAAAGAAGTATGTTGGTTGTAGGATAGGGTTAATCCTTATTAATGTGGTCTCTTAAATTTTTCAGCTGCTTGAGGAATCTTTGAGCTGCTTGGATTTTTGACAAAGGATTAATGTCAATAAGAAATGTGGAATCGGGACATCACAAACCTCCTCATTCCCTATGCTATCACGCCACTCTGCTTCCCAGAGAAGGGAGGCAAGGGAGAGAACGTACATCTAGGGCTCGCTAGGGAAAAAGGAAAAGGTTAGTTTAGGTTTTCTCTCTGTACATTTATAAATGCTTCAATCAGAGCTAATTATTCAGTGCTGGAGTGCTTTGATTTGTATTTTGGCCATTTTATTAATAAAATCAGTAGATTTTGTGCCTTCTGTCTAACCGAGGATGCTTTTGAGCATCTGCAAACAGAAGATAGAAGCCATGCCAGAACAAATAAGTGATTCTTTTGTATGTTTAAAAAAAAAATTAAAAGGTTGTTCATACTTTTTTACAAATGCAAGGTGCAGGTTATGTGCAACATTAGGTTCTTGCACCATTTGGTTTTTTTCCTTCAGCTTCCAGTTTTCTTTTGTTGCTGCTTCTTCCTAACTAAAGAAGAAACTGAAGGGCAGGGTGACTTAAAGGAGCAGGGGTAAAAAAAAAAAAAGGAAGGAAATACCTGAGAAATAAGCCCACAGTAGACCTTAGTGGCTGCCAATCTGCCTTTCCTAAGTGTCATGATTTCTAGAAACATGGTGCCGTTTTTCTCCCCTACTCCTTCAGGGACTTGGCCTTGTCTTCCTCCCTCCCTGTTAAAGCTGAAGACTATCAATCAGTTTGTTTATTTTACTTACTTTCTGGTCTAGTTTATTCTCTTCTACACATTTATGTATTAATTACCTTGAAAGCAGCAGGTAGGAGTAGAGAGCAGATTCTAGTCAACGTTAAAGGTTTGAAATCGTTCAGTAGCTATCTTGAATAGCAGTGGTGCTAGTCTAGGATTTGCGAGATACTTTGGGAAGTTAGTGCTGCTGTTGTTGAATACCTCAGAATGCATCAAAGAGTAGTAGCTGTGAATGAATCTGTGTATCAAGGATAGAATGGAAATGGTCAGAAAACTTGGCTGGGGAGCTTCTGGCGGGCTAGTTCAACCTTCCAGGTAGAAATCTTTTGTGGTCATAACTCTTCTTACTTGTCAGGGAGAAAATAACTGGAAATGTAATTTTTTGACACATAAGCTGGAATCTCCTAAGCACAAATATATATCACACTTTCTTGTGTCTATAGATTCCTGTTTAAGAATAGTTTTCTGGCAGTACACTTCCTTTCACTGTGTGTGGTGATAAATTGTGTTAGAGATTTTACTAATGTCTTTGTACAAGGAATGCAAACTTGAGAACTGGGAGAGATTTGGACTGTACCTAGTAATTATCATATCCAGCATTTAGTCTATTTAGATGTCATTTGCTGTTTTATTGGGGTATGCCATTCAAGCTAGAAATTTTTAGATGCTTGGCATTTCTGTGCCAAATCACGCAGGTCATAAGTGTGTGCCACAAGCACCCACATTTCTCATCTTTTCATGGCTGTCATGTGCTATGAGGTTGCATTATGTCTGTTCTGGAATTTGGGGTAGAGTAGAGAGGAAGTGCTTAAAATTTAAATCTGAAAAATGGAAACTGTCCCTTTACATGCTGTTTGCCCCCAGAGTACAAGCTTATTTCAGTTCTGGATCTGTGGTTGTTGGTGAAGCTAACCTGCCTTTAGGTAGCCATGACAGATGACTAGGGTAAAATGCAGAATCCTGTATGCAAGCTGCTTAGTAGATACAAAATTTAACATCTTTTGGAAACATTTACTTTTTCTGTTTGACAAATTCCCACGCATTCCTTGGAATGTATTTTAGGTGCTCTGTAGAGAGCATTCCCATGGCCTGTTTGAGGCATATCCTGATATTTCCTGAAGGGTCCTAGAATATGCCAGATGCCCTTCGGACCCGAGACAGAACAGCCATGCTCCTGGAGAGGTCTGGCAGACAGCATTTCCCTGTCACTGCTGGACATTGATTCTGGCCTGCTCTGATTTATTGAGGTGGCAAAGTGCTTTTCATAGATCATGAGCTTACAGCATTTGTGATTTTTTTAATACTTCCAAAATGGAATTACCTTCAAGATTTATGGGAGCTAAATATTCTCTAATTTGCTCCTTTTTCCCTCCATGTGGATATAATATTCCCTCCAAAACTGTTCCTTCTCCCTCTTAAATGAAGCAAAAGTATGTATTAAAAGTCAGTTTCCCTAGCTCTGTGTATGGTAGTGTTAAATATTACCAAATAATAGTAGGTAGTCTAAGCCTATTGTGTTCTTTGCTAGAAAAATCCCCAGGTTTACTTGTAGCAAATACAATAAAATGGCTGATGGTCACTTCACCCTTCTTTTTGGGCATCACTTTGATCCCCCGGTCATCATATGCCGAAGGGATACTGCAGAGTATCATATCAGTCTTGCTAGTTCTTCAGCTGATTTGGGGCAATTTCCTCAGGGCCCAGGGAGTCCCAAGAGGATCTGACCTTCCTCCTGGTTTGACCAGGCACCTTGTAAGGAGGAATCTGCATTAGGGAGAGGCCCTCCATACTCCATGTCAGACTACTGTAAACTGTCGTTTACATACTTGCATTGTATGAGAATCCTGCAAAGATGTCTCCTTTTGATGTTGGAAGGAGATGGAGATAACTCCTTGGAGACCCATCAGTGACCACATTTCAGTGCACCAAGATGGTTGAAAAAACATTGAACTAATTTGTCAGGTTATTGAAGTTTTCAGAGTATTATTGTATCCTGTTCTTTTTTTTTTTTTTTTTAATAGGCCTGTGGTTTATTTTTTTTTAACCTGAGATCTTCAGAATCTCTAATATATGTAACACATCTTCCCCACCTTTTCCCAGATGAATTTATATAGATCCTTTCATATCCTCAGCTCTGGAAAAATACTCCTTTCCTTCTAGATCAACCATGTAATTTGTGCATCCTGCTTTTGTGGTTATAGATGATCTTATTAAAGATTGCATGAGTGGATGTGAAGCAGTATGCATAGGTGAGTTTGAGTCTTCCTGTTTTGTTAAATACTCTTGGTTTCTCTTCCCCCTTCCCAGATGTTTCTGCAGCCTCTAATTTACTGGGCATCTGTGATGGGACTGCACTTTGAGCAGTTTATAATTCAGAATTCATTCCATCCTTTCCTCACTGTGCTGCTGTCTGGAATTGTGCTATGTACCTGACTGTGGCATAGTGCAGATAAGTTTATCTTGAATCACGTAGATCAAGTCCAAAAGTTATCTGATTGCAGTAGCATGGAGTTGCATGCTGAGTGCAAAAGCAGCCTGAAGGGAGGGTTAAACCCGTGCGTTACATCTATCCAGGTTAGCCAGACTGTATCTGTTTCGGATACGTGTACGTTGCAGTTGCAGTATGGCTGTAGTGGAGATGTACTCTCTGACTCTGACCATGCAGTACATTCCTTTCTTCATTTCTATAGCATAGTGTGATTGATTTTGATCCAGAATGTCCCTGCTACTGTTTTGATATGACTGAATGAACAGATTTCTAATAGTATTAGCATATTTTCTAGCAGTGAGGTTGATACACTCAGAAATGGTCCCATATGAAAGTTAGTATTTCTGAAGTTTCCTTTGCTAATTGTTTCCTTCTATCTGGCCACCATACTAATTGTTTCTAGAAGAGACAAATTTTTAATAGCTGCTGTGTTTGTCTGTTGAGGGTGTAATTAGGATAATGTATTCCCATAATGACATGGTTAAGAAGGACTAGTTCTCTCTTTTGTAAGTGGTTTTGGACAGATCACAACTGTTTGGTTTGGCAAGGACCTCTCTTGAATCATTTATATGTTAATGAATGCAGAAGAAAACACCTACATCTGTACTGAATTTCCATTCTCTGTAAACTAAGTGCTGCTTCATGATCTCCTGAAGCATTTCCTTTCTTGCCTGTGTTATGATAGCTGCTGTGTATGTGCATGAGTGAAGCAGATAACCCAGCCTTGCTCTCCACACACATTTGCCCTGAGCAGCGTGCCTGTGTGTAGTGAACATGTAATGAACAATATAAAGGCAACTCCACACCCCTTCCTCACACGCTCGCATAGACAGCGTATAAATTGCCTTGTGCTTACAAAGCTGGAAGTAAAACGGCCTAAACTCTGGTTGCAATTTACAGCTTATTGTAACTAAATTAATAGCTGAACAATAGTGGGGAAGTTCTAAGTTGTTGAGTGGAAGTGATTGCCAGGCTCACGACTTCAGTGATTTGGGTGTCCTCATGGCACAAATTCTGACAGATTTGTTCCACTGAAGGCACCTTTAGGTAAAAGTAAAATCTTCTACGTTACTGTATTGTCAGTGAGAATGTAGAATCAGCACCTAGGTATGGATTCTCTCAACCTCCCTACAGAAGTTTATCCTTCCTAGTTCAGGAGTTAATTTCTGTCTCATTTTGGTTTTCTCAGGTTCTCGAAGCCGGCACCAATGTTCTTGGATGATTCCTTCAGGAAATGGGCACGTATCAGGGACTTTGTACCCCCATTTGGAATTAAAGGACAAGGTATGAGAAAACTGTGCAGCTGTTGGAAAAGAAAGTGGTTCTGCAGATGCTTGCCTCATCTTGTTTTTCTGTTTTGAAAGCTCAGGTGGGCCCTTTGGCTCAACTTTTTTCCCCTGTTCAGGAGAAGTATTGTAGATGTAGCTCTTGGAAACCCAGAAGGGTTTTCACAGCTGGAACATGGACCTCAGAGGCTGATCTTAGGGAGGATGGTTTAGTACATGGGGAGAATCAGTGCAACAATGGCAATTTAGACCTACCACCACATTCTGGAAGAATTTTGACATTGACTGCTGTAGCATCTTGTACCATCTTTGCTGACAGCAGCAGAGAGTCCAAACTGATTTAAAGTACCTTTAAGCCAGTAATTCTCTAAAGAACAGGAAAGACGCCTCTTTCTGAGTTTTGGAGCCTTGGGGTTGACCACTGATACAAATCTTCATTTTCTTCTCATAGCATTTGGCCATGTAATTATTTTATAATTGTGCTACCTGTTGACTTGTATAACAAATAGGAAAAATCTGTTCTTTGGTGATGATTTGTAATATGCCCTGTCCTCCAACTGGAGCACAGCAGCAGCAGCTGTGTCTCAGGTATGCTGTGGGAGAGCAGGAGTGGTGCTGGTGGTGATGAGATGGGAGCCAGGAGCATACCCAGCAGATGATACATTTTGCGGGTGACACAAGCTCCTAGCAATCCCACTTGTGCTACCAAAGGCCTCTCTGGGTAAGTGGTGGTGTAGCAGAAGGCTTATGCTCACCGCAGTGATTTGCTGCACGCTTCCTGAAGTCTGATGTATTCATTAAGAAGTGTTTGTGGCATTCCATCGACTTCCAAGATTTTTTTTTTTTTCCACTGACAAACTCAAGATTACAGATGGCCCCCATAGGAATTTAAATACCTATTGGAGAAAGGACTGCAGCCACAATAGGCTTGGGTCTATGTCTCTCTCTGGAAGCAGGTGTGGTAGTTGTCAGAACAATCTCTAATCAAGTCAAAGGCTTTACTGACAAATTTCTTTTGGCTTGCATCAGTTCCCTCCTTTGTTTTATATACGTCCCTTCCTTGTCCACTCGGTCTTTTGCAGCTCAATAGGCAACTAATTACTGTCCTCTAAATCAGCCAGCAGAGTTTGCAGCAAAGAAATAACAGCATCAGCACAAGTGGAAGGCTGTGCTGACCACAGGAGGGCTTGTCCCCTTCTAACAGGCACAGAAGGTGTACAAAGCTAGGGCAAGCTGCCTGACCAACGTGGAGGTGGGATTTGCAGATTACACATGATGTGAGCTAGACCTAATAAAAATCATTCCATTAAACTGAATCCAAATGGAGAAATTCACCAAAAGGGGATGACGGAACAGCTCTGGCAGCCTTCTCCCTGGGTTTTTTGCCAGCTTGTATCACCACTGCAATGTTATGTAAATCTGGTGTTTTATATTGGATTTCCTCAGTTAAAAAGAGAAATGAGAAATTGCCATTATTTAAACGGCTGTGAGCTGAAGCCATGGAACAGAAACCGTTGAATGGGTTATTTTTTTAACATCCTCCTGGGACTGAATTTTGTGCCAAGTTTTAGTCTGGAGCAAGTTCTGTGTGTGGGAGGGTTGAATTATAAATCTCTGTAGCCCAGGATTTCTAATGGCCATGCTGACAGGCCGTGAGTCCTAGCGATGCAAATGGCGCCCTTTCATGTTACACATCACTTGGAATTCTTGCATCAGTCTTTTCTGGCTGTCCCACGGGATGCATGCTGGCTCAGCTGAGTGATTGGATGATGGGATCAGCACCTCATTAGGGCTTTCAGTCAGGGCAATCTAATGATATCCAAACAACTGACCCAGGCAGGCAGCACAGACCTCAGTCACGTGCTGGTGTGAGATGAAGACTATCAGAGCTGGGACGTGCATGGGAAAAAGAGCAGTCGGGGTGGCTGAGAAAGTGTAGAGAGATGTGCCTGTGTTGAAACAGACGGGGCGGGAGTTTTGCTCTATGCGTTAGGAAGCCCTGTGACACCGTCAGCTGGGATTTCCCACGTGCATCACACTGGGAAAGGCGGTTGGTGTTTATAGATGCTGACTGTAGCTGGGTTGGTAGTGGGAAGATTTTGCTGAGAACTGCAGTGCATATCACCCAGCATTTCAAGTCACTGTGGTCTAGCCCAAATGCAAAATGGCTTTTTTTTAATGTGTGTATGTGTGAAATATAGCTACAGGATGAGCTTACTTTCAGTAGTACTACATGTTCCAAGAAACTTCTAGAAACTAATCTGTGGTAGCTTGAAAGTACTAAAGTTATGAAATCAAGAGATTCTTAGCAGCTTGGAGGCTAATACACCATTTCTGTTTTCTCTTGTTAAAGTTTCTCTCTAGTCTTGAGACTTTTAGCTATGTTTTTCTTTGCTTTGTCACCAACAAAAATGAAAGAAGTCCTTTTTCATCCATCACTTGGTGTTTACTGGTCCCAGAAAGAACAATTCCAAGACTGCAAGAACAAATATTGCAATCTTTAGGGGAAAGCAGCTTTTGAGGAGCATTGTCTACTGAGCTGTACTAATTTGGAGTAACACGTCTGTATAAATTACACGTAAAAGAGTAGAAATGGCTCAGAAATTTTCAGGGCAGGACTACTGCTCTTTAAAGGCAATCATATCAAGCAGAAGGCAGTATGCTGATCATTTTGACACAGCTCATCAGGGATCTTCATTTTCTATAAAAAGAATCTGATTTTAAAGACAGTTCTTCCATCTCCAGATGCTAAAAAGTACTCAGTATAACATAGAAAGCTTAACGGTGTTTCTTCATGAAAGAATGAAAGAATCCTTTTCTCCGTTGGTCATTTTCTGGTTTGGCCATTAGCCCATGCAAGGGGATTTTATGACCAAAGTGCTCCACTTTCTACAAGGGCATTCGTGTGTAGAAGCCCTCAAGGTGAGGATGGTTCTGAGCATGAAAGTTTTTAGACTTTCCCCTGAATGGTGCTGGTTCTGAAATGGACTATTGCAGTAGAAATAATGCGCATCTCTTGTCAGATTGGAAACTGCTGCTGTTGTTAGTTAACCACCTTAGTGGTTACTTGTCTGCTAAATGAAAGAAGCACAGGAATGAGCAGGTGGTGACCCTACTGCTTTATGAACAGGACTTTCTGAGATGAGACATGCAGTGGGAACTCATGTACAAACTCTTTTTTAACAGTGGTCTCCGAGTGTTCTCTAGAAGGTATTAGAAATAGATGAAGAGGAGCTTGTGGAGCAGTTGTGCCTTTTTCTTAAACTTAAGTTAAAGAGGCTTAGTACATGTTGTACTTGTTGACTCAACCTCTGTTTACCGAAGATCTTGACCAAGGATTGATCCTAATTACTTGATCCCAAGCGCCAGTGACCCACGACAAAAGTGAAGGTGGGAACTGTCAGGAGTATTGGAGCTGGTACAGCAGATTGAAGGTGTCATTGCATTCATCACAGATGTCTGTAGCCCTTTGTGGGAACTCTTGCTTTCTCTGTGTGCAGAGAATAGGGAAAGTAATAGGTGCATCATATTTTTGAAGAGGCATCAGGATATTAGATTTTGACAACACAAAGGGTCACTACAAGTATCTAGTTTGGCCTTTTGTGTAACAGTGGCTCTAGGTTTCACCCAGTGACTTCTGCAGCTGGCTATGAACCTATGAGGTTATCTTTCAGAATCTGAATAAAGATTTTGTAAATGATGAAGAATAACCATGTTGTCAAACAGACCAGTGTCATATTTGACGGCAATTACTTTAAAAAATGAGACTGTTAGTACCACGTTGAGCTTGTTGTCTCCTACTGTGTGACTTGACAGAATCTAGAAATGGGATGTGCCACTGTGAGCGCTTGGAAACGATGACTCCGTCTTTATTAATAAAATAAAATAGTTGTCCTCTGGTCCTGAACACAGTTGAGCTCATTGTTCAAACAGGTTAACTCCCCGTGCCCCCCAAAAGAGGGTGGCTATATCCAGGCTTCCTATCAAGAAAGGTGACTGGCCTGTATTAGCCTGTGACCCTATGAATGCATGAGAATTATAGAGGAGGATATTTGTTGGCCCTGGTGAAATCCGTCAGGCACTGTGCTAACGCTTTAATAGTATGGACTTGTGTAGGACAGTGTGGGCCCATGCCCTGCTGCCAATTTGTTTATTAGGGTGTATATAGCCCAAGTGAAGGGATGTCACGATTAAATTAGTCAACTTTAAGAGTTGTCAAGAAGATCAAACTGTAACAAGAAGTTGGAACTCTAAAAGCTACAAATGTCAAGACGTCCTGTGGGGGACAGCTCAAGCTGCGGAGCACCCTCCTGTGTCCCAGTCTATTGTTTCGGCATTAACTGGGATGTTGAAGTGCCTCCCACGATCCACCATTTCTGAGGGTCTAATTTTCTTGCAGGAATTCTTCTTTCCCAGCACCCACCAAGCCTGCTCTTGTAGCTTGTTCAGTGAGGAGCAAGGAGACTGCAGCAATCTCAGGTTCTTAAACAAGTTACATGGAGATTTTTTTAAAATTGAAATTGAAATGTCTTCTTTTGTATTTGCATGCTTTTCTAGCAGTGCTTCTATCAGTGTAGCTTATGGAGGTATGAATATGCACATGCTGTCTGTATTGTTGCAGAGATCCTCTAGCATGTGCACTGCTTTCAGGGTTAAATTCATCAATGAAAAAGCAATGGAAAAACTGTTTATAGTGTTAGTGAGATTATTAATCCCAGAGGACCTCCTCCCCAAATGTACCTCTGTAGCTAAAGCAAAAGGAAAGAGTTATTTGGAGAAGGGCAACAAACAAGACTGGAGAAATACCTGACTATTAATAGAATTTCTCAGTACATGTGGTTTAAAGAGTATAAAAGGCTTTCATAAGAAAGAGTAGCTAGTATCTGGCATCCTCTCTGTGTAATGAGGACAGGAGAGCTGCTGCAGTTTTTTTTTAACTTAAGTGAAAACATATGGCACAACATACACTAAAAAACTAAACAGACATGATCCATGTAG